TTAGTACTGTGTCCTCAATACATCTACTGCCAGGTATACAGTTCTTCCTTGTTTAGTAGTGTGTTCTTGACATATCTAATGTAAAAATAACTTCCATTACTTGAATATATAACCCCATAAAATATCAAAGATTTAAAGAAATTTAGTTGCCACAAAACTGGAAATCAAGAAAATAAGTTGGCTGCTAACGTATTGATTGAAGCTTGTCTGAGCAAGAAAAAACCTAAGAATAACTATTTTGAAATCTATGCAGCTATAAATTTCAGTTGTTTGTGTAAAATATTGCTTCTAATTTTCTATTGGAAAGGTGTGAAAATTTTGTTTATATAACAAATGTCATTTGAAATGATGTACTACTATTGGGCCAACCTCAACCACAATTTGCACGTAAATACTATAAACTATGGGGAATGTTTTAAGGGAGTCAAATTTAACTTAACCCAGTTTTATTTTGTAAAGTCTGTTGGTTTATTACTCCCAGCCTATTGAGTCAATCTTAAACAATCTTGGCAGGGTGACGTATTAGATAATGTTGAATATTCTAAAGAGATTCAAGGTTAAAGTATGAAAGTTGCTGGATTGTTTCTCAAACAACGATACTTTTCTCATGGTCAATGAGATGTAGGGTATTCAAGGGTGGGATCACCTCAAAATCTTTATTTGTTGGTAGATGGAGAGCAAACTGTAAATGTCGTTTATAAAGAACCTTTGTTATAATTTTAAAATTTTGAGATAAAGTTTATGTTCAAGTTATTACTTTGAAATATAAGAATGCTATTAAATCTACATTGTTTTAATTAAGTTTAAACATTCCCCATCAGTTGACGAGTATTTCAGCTTGTATGTGATAAACATAACATTCAATGCATTAATAATGACAAAAAATAATATAGAAATTAAAGAAAAATCCCAAAATTTATAAATGCATTTAGTTCAAGAAAATGACTTCCTACAATGCTATAAAATTTAACCATAAGAAATTTTACTTACTGGATTGGGTTTCTTACTTAATACTAGATCTCGGCGATAGGAGTAAAATTCCCACACTAAGGAAGGATTGGCAAGAAAGGCTCCTGGAGTAGCAATATCCTATATTTAAATATATTAATGTTATTAAAATTTAGCTCAACTAATACACAAATTAAATAATTATTTGTAATAGTCTGAGGAGTAATAAAAAACCTTAAAACCTTTTTTTTTTATCTATAAACAACAGTAAAGTAAATTTGACTTTTGTAATTTATTTTTATTGCTAGTTTTTAATAACTTTGTTATGAATCTTAGAAAGGAAACTTTCAAACAAAAATTGTTTTTTTAATGTGAAAAAGCTATATGTGAAAAGAGACTTCTGAACTGGGACTTGAACCTAAACACCACTGGGATATCCATGAGTACAAGCTATCCCTACCTCCTTTCATCCTTAAGGCTTTTTTGTTATGAGTATAACCACAATATTATGTTGTTGTTGTCGTCAGGTAATTAGTGGGTTAATTTACCACCACTCAACCAAATTACACAAGCCTATCACAGACTTGCATTTAATTTTATAACTGTTATCTTAAATCTGTTATGATCAATGAAAGGAAACTTTTTTTTCTTTACATGAAAATGTTGATAAGTGTAAAAAGACTCCAGAATTGGGGCCTGAAGCCAGGACCTCTGGCGAACAAAGCCATTGCTCTACTACGGAGATATTTAAGAGTACAAGGAAACAGGGATGGCTTGTATGCTTAGACCACTCAGTGCTACAGTAATGGTTCTTGAGTCTCTTTTCACTTATCAACTTTTTCATCTAAAAAAATGTTTTTGTTAGAAAATTTATTTTTAATTATCATAATGGATTTAAAATAAGTTAAGAAAATCAGAAAAAAGAATTCAAGGTAAACTCACTTGGATGTCTCCAAAATTATCTGATGAATTCATCCAAATTTACTATTTGTGTTCCTTCATGATGTCACAAAAATATGTAGGTTCAAGAAGTCTTGATACAAAATGATAAAAACCCTATAACCCAAGCACTTTTGAAAGGTCCACCTCTTGAAATGCTCAGGTTATAGGGTTTCTATCATTTCATATTAGTGTTCCTTAATGTTAAACTCAATCAGATGTCTCCGAAATTTTCGAATGGATTCCTCCAAAGTTACTATTAATGTTCCTTAATGTTAAACTCAATCAGATGTCTCAACAATAATCCAAAAGTAACTCCTCTTTTCCCACTATTACTATTTAATAATTATCAAAACAGGTATTTTTTTGTTACAAGTTGTGTAGTCTCTACATAAAAATCAACAATACAGTGATTATATAGAATAAAAATAACTTTAATTTCATATATTTATTAAGAGTACTGATTTCATTTAGTATCACTTTACTAAAGAATAAATATTAGTGCTAGAAAAATAAAATACTATAAAATATTACTTGAACTACTCTTTGGATCTTTTTCATGATGAATAGAAACTTTAGCATCCAAGAAGTACGAAACATGAAAACAGATGCAAAGCTGGACATAGAAATGACTGGGCTCTAGATTGATAAAACTATAGCAGTCATGAATTTTATAGGTTCATTTGTAGTCTGGCTGCAGATTCATTTTATGTAGAAATGTTTTACTGGAAGAATTATAAAGCTTCTACAATGATATGTTCAACGTTTGCACACTAACATAAGATTATATGTTAATATAACACCAATATTAGTTTATTTTATGACTAATATATAAAAATTTTTTTTGTTTATTTGATTATGGACAGAAGTTTGTTCATGTCAGGCTTCAGAAACATGATTTGTTATAACTTTGTTCATAAGTGTGATAATCATGATGAGATATGAAATTAGCAACACATTTAAGAGGGCCCTGAAAATAAGGTAATTTTCAATATTAATTGTAAAGTTTTTACTATTGGCTCTAAATTATAATTTTGCCTATTTTTTAGCATCATAAAGTTTCATTAGGTTTGTTTCTTAAATCTTTGGAGTAATCATTTACTTATTTATTGTACATCTTTTTCATTACAGTTACTGCTTTTTCTCATTCTCTTTTTTATTCATAAAAATAAACAGAGAAATGTCCAAAAATTAAGTACCTGCGCATTATATCTCCTCCAAAATCCTCCTGCACCCCTGAATGTTGGCACTCCACTTTCTGCACTTATTCCTGCTCCTGTCAAAGCTACAACATGTTTAGCATTTTTGAAAACTTCACGGAAAGCAGCCATGTCTGAGCTTGGTTGCTTTCGCATTACTGCAGTAATAGGTGTGGAAGTCATTTTGTTTGATCTGGTTGTTGCTGCAGTGATTGGTCTCAACAAAGCACGCAGTGCCATTTCAGAAGAAATATCTTAACCTACCTGTGTAATAATACAATTGAGAATATTTAAAGACAGTAAAGAGAAATACATTCAAGTAAAAAAACTAAATCAAAAACTGTGATTTTTATGATATGTTAATGTTATATATAAATGACATATTGTGCTAGTGGCATCAAAGATAAAATATATATATTTTTATATTTCATCAGTCACTTCAAAGCATTTAATTTAAGACAACACCAATGATATACAATTTATTGTTAGTGTTATGCACAATTTATTTTTGTATTTAATGGTGACAGTGTTTAAGATTAGAGGACACAAGTATAAATTTTGGCAAAATTAGAGGAATCCTCAGCTAAGAAAGCTATATTTTTCTAACATGGTCATTGGCCTTTGGAACAGGTTGCCTTCAGATGTGGTGAATGCAGTAAATTTAACCCATTGACTGCTAATATGGTGTATAGGGTACAGTCTGCCTCTGGCAGTTGAATGCGAGTGTGCTGTATAGAGTGTACAGCTTACAAAATTTCCATGCAAAGTTAAAGCAGTGCAGTCAAATGGTTAAGGGAAATTAAAGGGAAGCTTGATAAATGTTTGAATAATAAGGGCTGGCTTTTGATGTTTTTTTTATTTGAGAGTTTAGTATAAGGGATGGGATGGCCTAGCTGAACGAAAAGATCCCTTGATGTCCTTAAATTATATGATACATACATACATGTTGAATTTTGTTATATAAAGTATAGTACTATCATGCTTAATGGTACAAACATCACAATTACAAAGTCTAATAACTTGTGCATGAAAGCAAAATACAGTATGTTATAATATGTAAACCACACTATATTTAGTGCCAGCAAGGCTTTTTACCCAATACCAGGGTCCAGAGTTCATCAGGTTGGTTGGGAAACAACCGACGTAGTGTATTAGAAGATTCAGTGAAATTTACAAATTTAAAGAAGTTGCTAGAACATTTACCTAGCTTTCCATACTTCATAAAACAAGTGTGAACAAAAGATAGAAAAGAGCTTGAAAATTATTTTTTCTCCCACTCTTCTTGGACAATAATTCCACACAGCCTGAAATTTTTGTCTGTTTTTCTTTAACTTTCTGATTAACCTATTCTTTTTTTTCCATTACCATTTCACTTAATACATGAAAAATGGAGTCTGAAATTACTAACAATGACTTTTACTTACAGATATAATGTTAAAATAATGCTTTTTAGTTATCAAAGTAACTAAAAAACTTAACTAATGTTTATAAGTTATTAAAATGTCAAACTAACACACACAACTAACATATGTCAATTCAACAGTGCCCATTTGGAGTATAGTAACTGAACAAGAGAACTCTTGTTTGAAGCTTTGAAAACTTTTAACTAGGACTTATATTACAATTCTCTGCTATCAACTCTTATTTAAAAACATTATAGGCTACCCACAAATTTCACTTAATTCCCTAGCCAACTTAATAGCACCATCTGTAGACTTTAGTTCTTCATCGCTGCAATGAGAACCAGTTTTGTGTTTGTGTACTGAGGCAAGTTCAATGGTCTGAACTGCTTTCTATAACCTCATGTTCAAGTTAGGGTAAGTAAAATTCAATTGAATAGTTTTGGCTTTATTCCATTTCCATAACCAATCTATAGTTTTGGAACCAGATATGAACAGAGTAAAAAGCTACAATGCAAGAATAACTTTGAAAGTTCTTTCACAAAAGAAAGCTGGAACAAAATAGTTTTCAGCAATTGAAATAAAAGGTGTTACAAGCTAGGCCTAAACCAAGATAAAGTATTCTTTACTTGAAGAGTTTATCTTTTCCATTGCTTCAGTTTGTATGATCTCAAGTTGTTTGAGCTGACTCTAAACTATCTCCATTCTAGCAGTTTGGTAGTTAATGCAGGAAAGTTGTTAAGTCTTTATCAAGAAAGTGCTCCACTATCTTTGCTTCACAAGTTCTTACATTTAAATGCTGATTCAAAGTACGTGCACACAAACAAAGTTACAAAAGCATTTCATGTCCAGCTGACAATTTCTAGTTTCGAATGAAAGTTTTCCTGGACAGCATTTTGTGCCATATAGAAGGACAGACTTAAAATGCTTGTTTTACATGCCTCCGATTTGAAATCCACAATTAAGAGTGTCAAGAATATTTAAATACAGTAATTATAACATCAAACCTTTTTCAACCATAAAAAATGCAGTTTTATTGATTACATTTGAAAATATTTTTTTTCCAAAGAACAACAAGGGGAAACATTTGGCCCATTTTCTACTGTCACCGTACATTAGAAACTCCTTTCATTTTATAAATACTGATCTATAAAATATTCATGCAACCTCTTTTTAAAGATCTTCAATGTTGCAGCTTCTACCATACCTGAAGGTAAACTATTCCACATGCTGACCATTCAAATAGAAAAGTAACATAATGTAATCTGGTAATAATTCTAAGAATTTAGGAATCAAAGCAAAGAAGAATGAGAATGGTTGTTATTTTGTTATGTGACTAACTTAAAAGCAGTATAAGTTATAACTTTAATAGGCAGGTCACAATAATCAAAATAAAAAAATGCACTAAATTATAGTAAATATATATATATATATATATATTTCACATGGTATACAATTCAGCAAGTTTATAAAAAAAGGTAAGATCATTATATGAAACAAAAAATCTAAATACAATTAATTTTTCAAAAATAAATATGCATTTCCTGGGGTATTGAGAGACTGATACTTCCAAATATTGATAGTGTTACTAATTTCTAAAAAATGCTAGAACTTGGAAATTGCAGTGAGTGGAACGAAAAATAAACGTGTTTTTTAGTGTATTTTTTATTCAGCGTCAAGTTTTAGGCCTATGGACCTTGAAAGTGTCATTTAATGTTCATGACAAACTATAACATATAAGTGCAATTGCAAATAATAGCATTGTAAATTACATTTAATGATGATTTAGTGCTTTACAAATTACAGACAAGTACGTGCGAAGGCCTTTCGAACTAGTCCATATTTTGTACCAAAAGTACAACTGCATTTATATACTTACAAGTTTATTCTTATGATACTTATTTAAATATTATATTCATAAAGCTTCGATCCTTCTCGTGCCAATCATCAACAATAACAATTTTATAAAAATACGATAAAAGCTTCATAAAATTAAAATACAAATATCAATAATATTATTATTAATAACAACCTAGTTTTATTTCTACCAATTCTAATCCGATTATGTACGTGTACAAAAAAATCTTGAAATACGTTAATGATTTTTTGGTTATTTTAATATTTTACTATTACAGTGCATACATTAACAAACTTTACCTTCACTCATACTATTACTAAGTTACTAATATTATACTTATAGACTGCCTAGGCTATAAACCCACATTACAGTTATACCTGACCGACCAAATCCTAGAATTTTGCGCTTCTCCCTCTAGGGGATAAATAGAACTTAGAATCGGTTACTTTTGCAGTCTAGGTTATATATGCCTTAATTGCCCAACATTTACTTATTTATTCTAGGACCCCTAGTAGAATCTATGTATCATAAGCGTTGAATTATAAATGAAAAATTGTGCACAATGCAGGCTGTTTAACTTCTGATCTGTATGAATAACACTACTACATATTATAGGTTATACAGCATATATAGCCCGGCATCCCACTCAGTTTTTTTTCTTTTTCAGTGAGCTGTGTATAACTTACATTTGAGAACCAACACAAAAATAATTTCCAGGATCGTTTTCAGTCCTCAAGCTGCTCCTGATTCTAATATTTTTTTTGTACGAATCTCCAGTTTTTTTCTTCTTAGTGTAATAGTGTAATACTTAGTGTCTAGTGTAATACATTTCAGAATAAATGAATAATATATTTTGCGTTGCTTATTCATGTTTCATGAAGTAGCAAAAGTTGTTGTTAAGCGCCAAGCTACATAACTGAACCATCTCTTGGTATGCTCACTGCGAGAATCGAAACCCGATCTGTAGTATTATAAGTTCTCAGACGTATCGCTGAGACACAGGAGGGGGGGGGGGGCGAAAAATACAACTTAGGGAATGATAACGAACGTATTTTGCTACTAGCTTTCTCTTCAGATATGAGATTGATTAACAAATTATATTTATAATGTGATTTAATTCTTCTTCTTCTCTGTAACGACCTAATCACAACTGGTTTGGGGTCGGCTGGTAATTTTGTAAGCCAAGACTATTTACACCTAGGTATAATAACATGTAATTAGTAAACAATAACGTTTTGTAAATATTCTGCGTTAAAAAGCTATAAAGGTAATTTTGCTGTTTACTAGCTTCCATTATTATTTAATTTGATTCCCTGTTTTCGTAATAAACAAAAAGTATGATATATTG